ACAATTCCTGGTAAATGTAATGGAATAGAATAGAATAGAATAGAATAGAATAGAATAGAATAGAATAGAATAGAATAGAATAGAATAGAATAGAATAGAATAATGATAGGATAGAATAATGATGGGATGGGATGGAATAGAATAGAATAGAATAGAATAGAATAGAATAGAATAGAATAGAATAGAATAGAATAGAATAGAATAGAATAGAATAGAATATGGAATGGAATGGAATGGAATGGAATGGAATAGAATAGAATGTGGAATGGAATGGAACAGAATGAGGAATGGAATGGAATGGAATAGGATAGGATAGGATAGGATAGGATAGGATAGGATAGGATAGGATAGGATAGGATAGGATAGGATATGGAATGGAATAGAAAATGTAATATAATGTAATGTAATGTGATGTAATGTGATGTAATGTAATGTGATAGGATAGGATAGGATAGGATAGGATAGGATAGGATAGGATAGGATATGGAATGGAATAGAAAATGTAATATAATGTAATGTAATGTGATGTAATGTGATGCAATGTAATGTGATAGGATAGGATAGGATAGGATAGGATAGGATAGGATAGGATAGGATAGGATAGGATAGGATAGGATAGGATAGGATAGAACAGAATGTAGAATAGAATAGAATGTAGAATAGAGTATAACATAACATACCAGGACAGGACAGGAAAGAACAGAACAGAATAGAATAGAATAAGTTCAAACAGTCATCAAACAAATGGTTGTAAATTGAGGACTATCTGTCCAACATAAAAGGAATAGAGGTTTGTATTCACCCCCATTGGGGGTGAGGGGTGAACTGATTGGCTCATCTACAATTCCTGGTAAATGTAATGTAATGTGATGTAATAGGATAGGATAGGATAGGATGTAGAACAGAATAGAATGTAGAATAGAGTAGAACAGAACAGAACAGAACAGAATAGAATAGAATAGAATCTTCAAGGTCTTCTAGTCCAGCCCCCTGCTCACGCAGGAGGATCTATACTATTTCAGATAAGTTACTGTCTAGTCTCTTCTTAAATGAAGTGAGCCCTTGTAAGAATTATTCTCAAAATCTGAAGAACATTTAGAGAAGAATGTTGGCTACGTGCAAATGTCCAAAATCTAAAATGCCCCTATACTATTTGCTGTCCTTTGAGAGCCACTGGATTAAAAATTGTGGTATATATTGCCTCCCTCTTCTTTGTATTCTCCCCTTACTCTTTGGACCTGTCGGACCACATTCCAGCATTTAACACTTGGGTGAGTCAAATCTAGATGTTTCTGTTGGCTGTGTGCAAACCGGACTAATCTGCACAATTTCCCCATTAACTGTTAAGTGCTGGTATATCTAAATGTTGAAGATTCCGCATAGCTATTAAATGTTTTAAGATACTATTAAAGACTTAATAGCTAGCTGTGAATTTAAAATGTTTAAAACAAATGCTGGTGCTTTGCTCTGTTTTGTTTTCTTTAATGTAATGAGAGACACAATCTTTTTTTTTTTTCTGGTTAATTGATGACTGACTTAACTTACAGGTTTCCAGGGCAGATCAGTCAGATGTCTGTGGAACAACAGCTTGTTGGTCATGCTATTCTTCCCTGCAAAATACAATTTCAGGAAAATAGTGGCTGTGTTCCAGAATGAGTTTTCAAGGCAATTGAGTGAGGCAATTATGGTTATCAGTCATGATGGTCATAAAGTGGGTCATCATATGATGGGACTTGATTTTAAGACCCTTTTTTTTTTTTGCTATGGTCATGAAATGAATGCATTTAGTCATTAAGCAAACTCATTGTTCTCTACAATGCATTGTTCCAGTTTCCAGAAAATGCATCATAAATCACATGATAAAGTAATAAAGAGGGTAAAAGTGTAATAAATAAATAAGTACCTCTGGGTGATGGAGGTTTCTTGTGGCTCACAAAAGGATGCTGGCAAACCAGATTTTTACCATCACTGATGAAGCCTAATCTAAAGTGGGAAGCGCCATATCTGTAAGATGATTATATTTTCATCCTTAAGTGTACCTTGTAATACCCACCCATAGAGGCACCAGACTGAGGGAGGCTGTCATAGAAAATACTCAATGAGAAGAACTCACGATACAATTCTTGAAGGCAAGGTCCTATGACCCATGCATGTGTTAGAATGTAGTGTGGACTAAGAGGAAGAAGGGGGCATTTCCAAGAGAGCAAATATCTATGGAGGTTCTCAGTCATCCAGGTCATAGCTGTCCCAAAGGTGCTTTTTTCATGAGGCAACTAAACTTTCTTGTTTTTCTTTGAAGACGTTTCACTTCTCATCCAAGACGCTTCTTCAGCTTCTTCCCCACCATTCAGCCAAAGCTGAAGAAGCTTCTTGGAGGAGAAGCACAACATCTTCAAAGAAAAACAAGAAAGCCCAGTTGCCTCCTGAAAAAAAAAACACCTTTGGGACAACCGAGGGAGCAAAGTGACAGTGGAGCTTGGACTATCTAGTGGGTAGGAAGTGAGCAATGTCAGACCCTCCCTAGCAATTCACAGAGTATATCTACAGTTATGTAGAGCAGCCTATAGTCCACCATCTGCAAATCTGTCCACAGGGGGTCCATGAAGGCTTGAAGAAATGTTATGAATTAAATCTTGAATTAAGTCTTGGGGGTCCATGGCAACCAAAAAGTATTTAAAGGGGGCCCATGGTGAAGATAAGGTTGAGAACCACTGATGTAGAGAATTGCTTTAGTCTGGCAAGATTCTGTCTGTAGGCAAACAACAAAGAATCTACTCAGATGGAAACGCCACATGTCATTCTTGGTTCTTTCAGCCTGACAATGCACAATCTTATCTGTAAATGATGTGTGTGCAAATTTCCACCTGATTGCATGGAATCGTGGAACCCTCCCTTCTCCCCCTCTGTTCTTCATTGACACTTAAATCATATCCTATATAAGCTTACTTGCAAGATTATTTGAGTTCACCTCTAAGTACACTTCCATAGGATTAGGTTGTATGTCATTGGGAAAGAACAACCACTCAGCAACTCCATATGTTTCTTCCAAGCGGCAGACACCATGAACAAAGCTATAATATGCAATAGCTATATAATGAAATGCTTTCTGAAGACACCATAATAAAGCCTTAAAGTTGTTTTATTTGCCAACTGTTGTAAAATGGTAATAGCACTTGGCTATTTCGTTTGATGACTCTACTGTGCCATATACCCGTAGCCTTGTTATTATTTTGATGATAAGACATCTCTAAAACACCAGTTCTACACAAAGTACTTTCAGCCCCCAGATTCTTATTTTCGGTTGTCAGGAAATCTTTACATGAAATACAGCAGAATACATTTCAATCAATACCTGTTAAGAAAGCACACACCTTTTAAAAGGCAAGAGAAACTTGCAGGAACAATGTAATATGGGGAAAGCATAAAAAACATTGGAAGAATACATTTCTGCCTTTTAAATCAATAATAAATATGAGTAATGTAATTATCTCCACCCATTGTGAGCTAACCATTCTAAAACAGGGAAGTAGAGGGGAACATGTTGGATTTTCTATGTGCAACGGTAAAGAATTTGAGAAAATTTGTTGTAAGCATGTGCCAGCTCTAAGCATACTTTTGAAGTTATTCATGCCTGTAAAATATATCTAAAAGTGGTTACCTTGATCCACAAAGGGAAGTGCATACGTGGCTTCTTTTATGTGCAATGGATACCAGTGCAAATAGATTTGGTCTTTTTAAATTAGCAAGAACTATCTTTTGATACATATTGAGATACTACTTCATTTTCTAAAGCCACACCCAGAATTATTGAAAATGTTAAATGCTTAGTTTTACATAGGCAAGGAGAGGAATATCTATGTATCCAGGTTCCCACTGTTGCTAGATGCCAATTTTTATTGACCCTAGATAATGGTTGGAAGTGATGAGAAGTGAAGCCTGGCAAATTCCAGAAAAACATGTCTTCTCTTGAAATATTTTTATTTCAATGGGCAGTTGGGCTAAAAAGAGTGATTGACCAATTCTGGTCCACCAAGTTCTATTATAATCACTGGCCACATCTGGTTCACAGCTGCCTTAGTCTGCCTCCTTCCTTTGTTCACTGGCAATCAGTTGGCCAGACTCAGAGAAGAGCAACTAAGATGATCCAAGGCCTGAAGACCAAAACGTACGAAGAACAGCAACAGGACTTGGGTTTGGCCAGTCTAAAGAAAAGAAGAAATAAGGGAGACATGATAGCAATGTTCCAGTATCTGAGGGGCTGCCACAAAGAAGAGGGGGGGCAGGTTGTTCACCAGAGCACCAGAGAGAAGGACCAAAAACAATGGTTGGAAGCTGATCAAAGAGAGAAGCAACCTGGAATTAAGGAGAAAGTTCCTGACAGTGAAGACAATCAACCAGTGAAACAGCTTACCCCTAGAAATGGTGGGTGCTCCATCACTGGAAGTTTTTTAAAAGAGACTGGACAATCACCTGTCTGAGATGGTATAGGTTCTCCTGCTTGAGCAGGGGGCTGGACTAGAAGACCTCCAAGGTCCCTTCCAGCTCTATTCTATTCTATTCTATTCTATTCTATTCCATTCCATTCCACTCCATTCCATTCTATTTATTCTATTCTAACATGACCAAGACAAAACTGGCCAGATGGCCAATCTAGAGCCCTGTGTTTTCTAAGTACCAACTTCCTATGTTTACTACTAGTGAGATCTATCTGTCTGTCTGTCTGTCTGACTGACTGACTGACTGACTGTCTGTCTGTTTATCTATCTATCTATCTATCTATCTATCTATCTATCTATCTATCTATCTATCTACCTACCTACCTATCTACCTACCGAGAGAGAGAGAGAGAGAGAGAGAGAGAGAGAGAGAGAGAGAGAGAGAGAGAGAGAGAGAGATGAACTGATAGATCTCACTGCTAGTAAACATATTGGCCAATTTTGTCTGCATAATTTGTGGTATATATCTATTTTTGTATGTGTGTGTATGTGTGTATGTGTATATATATAACAATCAAAATACTAAAATCCACCACAATTTATGCAATTGAGTTTCCTACATTTGGAGAAATCACAGGAATCAGCACTCTCAGAATGCAATGGATGAGCCTCACCCTGGAAAAACCTCCTTCATGATCAAGATAGCTTGGGTACCTTGCCAGGTAAGTATGGGAATGGAAATTGCCATGAAAATGGATCAGCAGCTGAAATCTGGATTACTTAATCTGCTAATGATAATATAGGTAGCAAAGTAAGTGCTAAAATTCAATAAATGGACAATAGTCAACAGATGCTGTGCTAACTAGAAGAGCGGCCTTGCACAAGCAACCCTCAAAGAAAAGTGCAAATTGGTGAATAAAATGATAAATGCCACATCTAAAAATGGATTTTCATTGGATTACCCCGAGTTCTTTAATACTCAGAGATTTCAGCTGAGCATTCCTGACTAACACATTTTTGCCAAAAGCTGCTGTTATTATGGCATCGGTTACATAAAATAATTCAAGTGATAAATAAATGTTGATGGAGGTCTTTCAGAAGCTTACATCCTTTAATTTAGAAAAACCTTTTTATACATAAAAAATAAATACCCATACTTTTATAGATGGAAATACAGGGAATAGATATTTAAATGAGGTGGTTTCTGCATTTCCTGAAGATTGATGTAGAGGTCCATAAGGATAGAAAGTGAAGTAATAACATTATGCTTGCTTGCTTGCTTGCTTATTTTTGTTTGTTTGTTTGTTTCTGTGTTTGTTTACTATTTTTCAAATAACTCAAAGAAACATACATAGCCAATCACACCTTCCTCTTATTTTCCCCAGAAAAACAACAATGTGAGGTGAGTTGGCAGTCTCCTGCTCTAAAGCCTAGTGCCTTACCCACTAGACCAGGGGTAGGCAACCTTAACTCTTTTATGACTCGTAGACTTCAACTCCCAGAATTCCTGAGCCAGCATGGAAAGGCTGGCTGAGGAATTCTGGGAGTTGAAGTCCACGAGTCATAAAAAAGCCAAGGTTGCCTACTCTGAACTAGACCAAACTGATTTTAAACTATGAGAACCCATCCAGTTACCGACTTGAATCTCTTTTTATCTGCAAAATCTAAACATGAAATCTAATGCATATAGGGGGATATATATATAGAAAGGAATGATAGCCAGTGAAGAGAGAGGAAAGCCCTATGAAAGGCTTTGTAGAGAAGCAATAATGTATCTACAGGACCAGTTCTTCCATTAGATCAAGAAAGGCCGTATTTCAGGTGGGAAATGTTGGAGAAGGAATAGTAAGAGAAGGAGAAGAGAAAGCTGGGTGTGGCAAGTTCTAAGTTTGATTACTTTCATCCACTGGAGCAGAGCTGTCCTGCGTTCAGTGGATAAGTGAAATGAACTGATTAAAGACATTTACAAACTGAACAATGCGACTCTTCCAAAACTGGCGTAAGAACTTAAATTTATATGCCCTCAATCTACTGACAGGAGGGAAGTATGAACAAGCATGACGGCAACTCTATATTTGCAGAAGCATAAATATTTCTCTTTCCCTTTAGAAGGAAAATGGGTTGGTCCAAACTGCTGAAAACACTTCTGGTGACCATGGAGTTGCTGGCTATCTAGTGTGGAGGGCAATTCAGAAACCGGGAACAAGTGGTAAGGACGGAGCAGACGAAGCTGAAGGGATGTTTTCCACACCACCTCATTTCATTTCAATCTCACTTACATACCTTTAACTCTCAACAAATGTCGACTGCTCATTTTTCTCAGAAGAAATATTGTGTGTCACATATTCAAGCTGTTAGATCCTACCCCTCCTTCAGCTAAGCCTTTATCTTACCCAGTGCTTTTTTTGTAAAACAAAAAAAAGGTGCCAGAACTCACACATGTCATACAACCCGCTTTGCCTACCCTACAAGGTTCCATCCAAAAAAGGTGCCGGAACTCCATTCTGGGTGTTCTATGACAAAACAAAGCCCTGATTACTTGTTGCTCAGACCAACTGTTCAAATCTAACATCCCTGAGCTTGCCAATTACAAAGTTTGCTACTTGGCTAAAGTCTGTATTTTCCAAAGCTGTGGACTTGTTCAGTTGCCACTGTTAGTTGCCAGGGGCCATAACTCAGGGTTAATTATCCATGGTTGTGTACATATGATGCCCTGCCAGGAGAACCTGTTTCTGCTTCATCACATGGGGAGTATTCATTGAGGACCATTGAGGCATGATATGCCAAGGTGACCAATTTTTTTTTTCCAGGCTGAAGACCACCCTTAGCTTTTGGCGGGATATCCGGAGTTGGGTTCCAAAACATAATGGATGGAACCATGATAAACAAAACCCAATCAATTTTATTTATGCTTTATTTAATTGAAATTAAATAACAGTTAAAATAATTTCTATCATATGGTCAGGCTTGTCCCAGCTTGGACATTTAGGAAAGAAAGGTCCAACTCCATTTGTAGCAAAATGTATACTTTTACTAAAGTCAAATGATTATAGCACAAAAAAAGCTGGATCTGAGTATTCCCACACAAAGCCTGCCTTGTCCCCTTCTCCCGGGCCCTCCCCCTTTGACCAGTTTGTAAGTATCCAATAATATTCAAATTAGGTGTCTTGGTAACAGCTTAAAGCAGGGGTCTTCAAACTTGGCAACTTTAAGACTCGTGGACTTCAACTCCCAGAATTCCTCAGCCAGCCTGGCTGGCTGAGGAATTCTGGGAGTTGAAGTCCACAAGTCTTAAAGTTGCCAAGTTTGAAGACCCATGGCTTAAAGGTTTTGGGTCCTCTTTGGTGGAGTTTTGTATTTCTTGCCTGTCTTTGGATCCTTTGATTTGTTCTAGATTGACACCTGTGGTTGCTGACATTGTGTCATTTCCCCCCCCCGCCCCCACTGCATTCCCATTCTCCCAGCTCCTGCTCTTTTTATGTCAGGATGCCAGCGAAATGAAATAGGCTGAAATGATTACAATGGCAGACCTGACATATATCCTTTACAATTCAGCTCCTCCATCACATTAAAAGAAATATACTTCCGTAGCAAATTTACCTCTTGAAAGAGCTTCATTGGGGACTTTCGGCCGCCAGGTTTGGGGTGTACCAACTGATCTTAACTTAGGTCTCACTAGCTAGAAGACAATGACCCTGCCATCAACAAAGTAAGTTGTTTTATAACTATTTTAACAGAATTGGATGGTACATTGGAGGTCTTCTAGTCCAATCATCTGCTCAAGCAGGAAACTCTATATCACAGTGGTGGCGAACCTATGGCACGGATGCCAGAGGCGGCACTCAGAGCCCTCTCTGTGGGCACGCATGCCGTCACCCCAGTCCTAGGCCTTCAGCTGGCTTTTATAAAACCTTTTCACTTTAGGCCTCTGCCACCGTGTGCAAAAAAGAAAAAAGGTTCAATCAATCAGTCAATTTCAACTTCTTGCGGGGAAAAAAAAGATCTTGCAAAGTTGGAATTGATTGATTGAGCTTTTTAGTCCCACCCAGTCTGCCGTTACCACCACAGCCATGCCCAGCCAATGGGCCACACCCAGCCAATGGCCACACCCACCTGGCACCCGATGATGCATAAAGGGGTTTTGGGTTGCAGTTTGGGCACTCGGTCTCTAAAAGGTTCGCCATCACTGCTATATCATTTCAAATAAATGCTTGTATAATCTCTTCTCAAAAATCCTCCAATGATGAAGCACCCACAAGTTTTGAAGGCAAGCTGATCCACTGGATAATTGTTCCACCTATCAAAATAATTCTCTTTTGTTCTAGGTTGCTTCTCTCCTTGATTAGTTTCCATCCGTTGCTTCTTGACCTGCCTTCAAGGGGTGCTTTGAAGACTAGGTTGACCCCCCTCTTCTTTGTGGCATCAAAGAAGAAGAGGTTTTATTATAATTTGGGAGGCAATTTGGAAGGAATCAGCTGCTTGAGTTTGCCAAAATAGTGAATCAAGAGAAAAAGTGTTTGTACAGCTAGAACCGAAGAGTAATAAGTAGTCTACCCAGATTGGTCCAGTTTAGTTAATATTGTAGGTGATGGAACAGCAAACAAAAATGCACACTTGTTGGATACAATCCAAACAATGGATTGCTAAACAGTCCATGCTAAAAATACATGAGTGGGAGGAGAAGAAGAAAGCTAAGGGGTATCTACAGTGCACACACACATCAGCACACACTATGTGACATAAACATACCCATATATATTTCAGTTCCTCGGAGGAATGGATTTCTGAATGTCACTTGCTTTATAAAGGCTGGCATGGCTGGAGAAATGATTGACCTTTCTGTAGGGAAGAGAAATGACTTATCAGTAAATTTAATAGCTTTCATTTGTTGCGGTTTTATGGGGCAGGAAGTCATCTTCTGTCTCTTATCCCAGTGTTCCTTCTCAGCTTTTTTGTTTGTTTGTTTGTTTGTTTGCAAGGCAGTAATGAAAAAACTCTTGACTCTGCCAACATGAATTTAATAAGGAGAACAGTGTGAAACTTGACTTGCTGATGAAGTTAGCGGCTGTTTATGCAGCTGCTAGTTTAGGAAAATATCATTTTTCATGAGCTTTGCCACCAAAGAAACCTAGCAATAGGGATTTTTTTTCGCCTTATCTGTAAGGATAATGGTCTTAATTAGAATGCTACAGTAATGAAGTGGGCAATTGGGATGGGATTGTTGCTAAGCGGAATGAAGTCTTTGCTTTTTTTTTTTTTCCTAAGAGAGAAAAGAGAGAACCTCTTGAAATACTCCTAAATAGCATTGTTAATTTTAGATTTTCAACGAAAATTTGGGAGAACACGAATATGGTGCCTTATTATAAAATTGGAAGTAACAAAATGGCAATATACAGAGAACATTGTTCAGAAGTTGTTCACTGAGAATCAGAGGAAGGGGATGAGGCTGCCCCAGGAGGGAGCAATTTCCAGGGAAATTTAAAAAAAAAAAAAAGCAAAAGTAAAAGTTCTCAGAGTGAATATAGTCATAATGTATATCTGTAGTTTCCCAAAAGGAAAATGTTGTGGCACCCCAAGTAATTACACCGAAGGGGCGGTGATATTACGCTCACTGTGAAAAATAAAGTTATTGATGAAGAGGCTGATTGAAAACTGGAAGTGTGATAAAGAAATTCCTGAAAGTGGGAGAATGGGTGGAAAGATAAAATATTTTTTAATGAACATGCCTAT